TGACTCCCATCATACAGTATATTTGAAATGTATTTTTAAAAATATTTTTCATATATTTTGTAATAAAAATGCATTTAACATGCAGTATTGCTTGGTTAAGCAAGTAAAAAAGCATTTAAAAAGGTAGCCATGCATTTTTTTAAATTATTGTAATGGCATTAAGTTATGTTAATGTGCAACAAATATAAAGTGAAAAGGTGAAAATACACATTAAAGTGTTACTAAACCCGTATATCTTCTATAGTCTCTCGTTTGGTGTCTGGTCCCGTCGATCTCTCTCCATTGATTTGTCTATTATTTGCACCAGTTCCTGGCTTACCCACATCGTAATACAATTGATCCATACTATCTGTGTTGCCACACAGTGGTCCGTAGCCTTTGGTTCCCGTCTCACATATCATGGGTAGAGTTGACTGTGTTAGACTGTCTGAGAGAATTTTCCATATGACCTCTAAAACCATGCATATTTTTAATGCAAAGTGGGACCCATGGCTTTCTATCAGAAAAAACACTCAGTGATTAAGACCTCAGTTTTGTTTGATTTTGTATTTTTCCTTGTTTGGTTCTTTTTTTATTTAACTTTCAATTTTTTATTAAGTCAACAGGAATTCAGAGTTTCATTGTAACAGTATTATATTATACACTGTATTAGTGACTTAAACTTATTTCATGGTTTTTGTTATACAAAATGAACATTTTGTCTCTTTGTATAAAGATATTTTGTTATGCTTCTTCATATTACTTTGCATATTCTTATGTAGTGACTTATCTGTTGTGATGTATACTCTCTTTATACAAACTTTTCAAATAAATAGTTTGTAAACAAAAAAAGTGTTACTAAACACAAACCTGTAAAATCAGTCTGTTTGTGCACTAAAGCATGCTTGTTATACTCGCTGTGGAATCCTCCGCATTGTGTAAAAAGGCAGTTTGATCCTGTGTTCTCTGATCCTCCCCTTCTCATACTGTCCCCAATCCATCTGATAGAACAGTACTCTAGGAGTCACTATGCACATGTTCAGTTTAGTGTGTATTGCTAGAGTGTTTTTTTTTTTTCTTTGGGGAGGGTGAATGTGACCAGCACAGGGCCAATCGGCACTGCTCAGACAGAGGGTCAGGGGTTGTGCAGCCGCATAGGACACTCAGAGCAGAATAAAAACTAATCCTACAAGATTAACCAGTGCTCCGCTGGACACTGATAGAAGTTACAAGACTGCTATATACTGCTGATGAGAAAAGGTATTTAGCAGTTTATATTTACTAAACTAATTGCATTTCCTTTTTGTATGTACTGTGGGAGACCAGTTATAGAGGATTCAGGGTCCTGGGTTGAGTAACATTTTAACCTTTAAAAACAACTCAGTGATGACATTTCCTATATTTTTCATTAGCCAGTTTACTTGATATTTTTCTCTGGTGGTATGTCATTCTGCACATTGATGTAGTTTTGTCTAATGTTTAACTAGGATCAGATCATACTGGAGTGTTCTTTCAAAGCATGGTTAGAGCTTTAGGTTAGATCTAACAAATGCTGTAGACATATATAACTTGCAGGCTGGATTCAAGCATCCTTCGGGTATCTGTGCCATGTAGTGAACACAATCGGTATAAACATTTGTGTTTAGTCTATGAAGCAGATCGGAGGAGGTCCTCTGCAGGCATCTCTGGTGTTAGCTTCTCAGAGGGAAATAATAGCTGGACATTATATTCCAATATGTCTGTATTTGTCTGTGGACAAGGGTGTCCTTTTATGACACAGAGAATAGCTGTGATTCCGAGGATCCCAGCTATTCTCTGGTCATTCACAGTTTATAACACTCAGGAGAACATGTTCAGCCCTTCACTGGAGATCTGTGTTCTCCCTCCAGATTCTCCAGCCCAGACCTGGAGAATCAGAGGGACCGCAAACTAAGCAGCGATAATTTACCTCTGTTTAGTAAACTGATCTTTTACTGTAATCTCGTGAGATTATAGTAAAATCAGCCATTTTCCAGAGTTTGTAGACCGTTCTCCCTTCATTTGGAGAACTGATCTACATATGCTTCATAAACTGCATTCACAGGAGAACTGTGTTCTCCGAGAATGCCGGAGAACTGAGCAGCGATCTATTACTGCTGGTTCATAAACGGACACCATAGTTCTAAATTGTTAGGAAACAGAGAAGTAATCACCCTCTTCAAAGTCTGTATGAATTTATGTATGTATAAAGTTCTGTATGTCAGCAGAATTCAACCAGCCACACATTATAAGTCCATCAGTACAGTATTCACTGCTGTCCATCTGATTGTACAACTGTAAAAAGTGCAGGTTTCCTTTAGAACCCAATAACAAAGCAGGCTCCATGCACACTAGCATTTTTTTTTAAACTCCTTCACGCTGGCCACACACAAATGTGTGGCCTCCCGGCGTCTGGGCCTAGGTGTAGAGCGGGCGCACATTTGTGTTCTATTAAAAAAGGACATATGTGCCAAGAGCACGCACCCTGCGCGCTCTCAGTACACATGTCCGGTACTCACGGAAAGGTCCCGATCTTCTCTTACGATTGGGACCTTTCCCGATCATGTGACTGCCGTGACGGCGCGTCACGGCGGTCACATGACCCTAAACCCCACCCCCGCCTCCCGGCTTCTGGAACCCTTAAAGGGCCGGCAGGCGCAGGCGTGAAGGGGTTAAGCTCTAAAATTGCTGGATAAAAAACACTGGTAATAGTAGAGTTTTAGTAGCATTTAGAAGTGTTTAGGAACTGTTGCATTTTATTAGCATTTTTTACAGTATATGCAAAGGAAAGAAAAAGCTAGAAAAAAGCTGCTAGGAGTGTTTTAGTAGCATTTAGCAGTGTTTAACATTTTTTTCTGTTGAAAAAAAGCTCCAAAAAACTCTACAAAAAACGATTTTATTTTTCTGCTCCTAAACGCTGAAGCTCAAAAAATGCTAATCGCCTAAAGTAGTGTGCATGGACACATAGGATAACATTATTTAGCTTCTAGGAAGAGACAGAAATGCTAATAACAGCTTCTGGCAGCTTAAAAAAAAATGCTAGTGTGCATGGAGCCTTAAACTGATTTAGTCTAGGTTCACAACTATGCGTTTTCTGCAGCATTTTGTGGAAATCCATTTAAAATGATTTCCTATGGGACATATTCACATCTCTGTGTTTTTAGCTGGGGTGTTTTTTGGAAAGGGTCATGGACGTTTTAAAAAGCAAAACGTTGTGTTTTTGATTCTATAGACTTCAATAGAGACACTGCAGAAAAGCATGTAGTGCATTTTTGTTGCGTTATTGATGTGTTTTTGATGCATTTTGCGTTTTTAATCTGCCTAGCAACAAGAAGAAAAAAATAACACAAAGCGCATCAAAAACACATTTGTAAAAACACAAAAACTCACTGCAAAAAGCACTGCAGAAATGGATAAAACGCAAACTGCATAGGTGTGAACTAAGCATAGAGAGGAGCACTGAGCCTCTTTGGCTAATAAATATAATAGTGAGCATCTTTTTAATTATTTAATGTACTACAGGTGCTCTTTCAAGGGGCAATCCCATTTCCTAAAAAACAGGTAATTTAACACCATGTCTGATATTAGTGACACCAAATCAGTTCCCCCCAGTGTCAGAATGCCCGCAGCAGTACTGCAGTCTCGCTATAAGTTGCTGATCATTGCCATTACTAGTAAAAAAAAAAAAAATTCTATACTGTCATTCGTAAACACTGTAACTTTCATGTAAACCAATTAATTTACACATATTGGGATTTTTTTTAGCAAAGACATGTAGCAGAATACATTTTGGCCTAAATGTATGACAAAATTAGATTTTTAAAATTTTTTTACTGGATATGTTTAATAGCAAAAACTCAAAAATGTTATTTTTTTTCAAAATTGTTGATCTTTATTTTGTTTATAGCGCAAAAAATTAAAACGTCAGAGGCAATCAACCACCGACAGAAAACTCTATTTGTGGGGGAAAACATTACATAAATGTAATTTATGTACAGCGTTGCATGACTGCGCAATTGTCAGTTAAAGTAACACAGCGCCGTATCGCAAAAAATGGGGGGGGGGGGTAAATCCTCAGGAGGGCAAGTGGTTAAGTAAAGTGGTTGTAAACCTCTGACTTGAACTATGAACAAAGCATAACTGTATAGTGTGTACTTGTCTCTGACCCCCGGGCCAAATCACTGAGTGTGTTTTCTGTCTGCTGTCTTAGTTCCTTTGCTATCTACATGAATCACTGCTGACAGGTTTTCCCCAAGATAGATGGGTGCAGGGAGGGAGTTCTAGCACCCAGCCTATGATTGATAGACTCAGCTGTGCATGCTCCTTGTGTGCTGTATAGAGGGTGGTATGCCCCTTCCATCCACTCAGCTCTCAGGGCTCTCCTCTCTGAGCTGTGCAGTGTGTGATGTCAGAATCCTGCTCCCTGCCTCCTGGAGCTATGAAATGCTGTATAAACTGTGCACTTTGAACTGAAGTGGAGAAGAGATGGCTACAGATAAACAGGTACAGCTTACTTCGGAGGATTTGTGTATTACCTGAGTCTAGTCACTTCACTGGCTATATGTAAGGGTTTATGACCACTTCAAGACAGCAATATTGATATTACTGAACTGAAGTGTTGCTCACACACAAGGAGCTAAAAAAAACACCTGGCATGATTTTGACAGAACACCAAGAATGAATGAAGCATGTGGTGAGTCTGTCTGCAAGATGAAGTGGCGTGTCCGGACCAGCATACTGGAGATTTTGTTGCGCTCTATTAAACTCTATCCAAAACTGTTTTGGATAGAAAAGGAAAAGATTTGAGCCAGGGGCAGACTGACCATTTGGGCACTCAGGCACTGCCCGAGGGCCCGGGGTCACTAGAGGGTCCCCTGGATCAGGGGCGGACTGACAACTCATGGGGCCCCCGGGCAATAGGGGATCATGGGGCTCCTGTTTCCTTGCCCAAACTCAAAAAAGCCTATGAAAAAGGTACCAGGGACATCTCATGGGGCCCCTTACTGACCCCGGGCCCTCGGGCAGTGCCCGAGTTTCCAAATGGTCAGTCCGCCCCTGCCCACAACATGATGCTGCCACCACCATGTTTCACAGTAGGATGATGTGTTCAGGGTGATGTGCAGTGTTAGTTTTCACCACATATACCATTTTGCATTTAGGCCAAAAAGTTCCATTTTGGTCTCATCTAACCAGAGCATCTTCTTCCTCGTTTGCTGTGCCCCCACATGGTTTCTTGCAAACTGGACTTCTTATGGCTTTCTTTCAACAATGGCTTTCTTCTTACCTCTTCCATAAAGGCCAGATTTGTGGAGTGCACAACTAGTAGTTGTCCTGTGGATAGATTCTCCCACCTGAGCTGTGTATCACTGCAGCTCCTCCAGAGTTCCCATGGGCCTCTTGGCTGTTTCTCTGATTAATGCTCTCCTTGCCCGGCCTGTCAGTTTAGGTGGACGGCCATGTCTTGGTAGGTTTGCAGTTGTGCCATACTCTTTCCATTTTCAGATGATGGATTGAACAGTGCTCAGTGAGATGTTCAAAGATTGGGATATTTTCCTATAACCTAACTCTGCTTTAAATCTCTCCACAACTTTATCCCTGATCTGTCTGGTGTGTTCCTTGGCTTTCATGGTGCAGTTTGTTCACTAATGTTCTCTAACAAACCTCTGAGGGCTTCACAGAGCAGCTGTATTTATACTGAGATTAAATTACACACAGATGGACTCTATTTACTATTTATTGAAAAGTGTAAAAAAACCTATATTTTCTACTCTCTCTGCTATAAAACACATCCATTAAAAAAATTTAAAAATTACATTTCTTCATAAATCTAGGCCAAAATGTATTCTGTTACATGTCTCTGGTAAAAAAATCCCAATAAGTGTATATTGATTGGTTTATGTGAATGTTATAGCATCTACAAACTGTGGGATATGTACTGAAATATATGCAGCTACAGACACTATACTGGTAATGGTGGTGATCAGCAACTTACAGTGGGACTGTGACAGTGTGGTTGGCAATCTGGTGCTAACAGGCACTGGCTGTAAGGGACACTAAAGATAATATATATCTGTACAGAGACTTTCAGCCAAATGTGTAGTTAAAATTGCTTATGAGGTAAAGTCTACGGGCTTGGAAAAATCTGTATGTAAGTGGATAGAAAACTGGCTAAAAGATTGTATTCAGAGAGTAGTGGTTGGTCTAGGGTTGTCAGTAGTGTACTCCAAGGTTTAGTGTTATTAGTGGTGTACCCCAAGGTTCAGTGTTGGGACCCTTACTTTCTAATATATTTATAAACGATATAGGGTCTGAGATTATAAATACCATTTCAGTCTTTTTCAGATGACACCAAGCTGTGCAGAATAGAATAGAATAACGTCCTTACAGGATGTCTTCAATTTACAAGCCGACCTCAATGCACTGAGTTATTGGGCAACTATGTAGCAAATGAGGTTTAATGTTGATAAATGTAAGGTTATGCACTTGGGGGCTAAGAATATGCATGCAGAATACATACTAGGGGGGGGGTACAACTGGGGGGAATCAATGGTGGAGAAGGATCTGGGAGTTCTGGTAGATCACAAGCTTAATAATGGCATGCAATGCTAAGATGCGGCTTCTAAAGTGAGCAAAATCCTCTCTTGTATTAAAAGAGCTATAGACTCCAGAGAGAGAGATATCATATTACCCCGGTACAAATCATTAGTAACACCTCATCTGGAATATGCAGTTCAATTCTGGGCACCAATTCACAAAAAGAACATTGGGGAACTGGAGAAAGTACAGAGAAGGGCAACCAAACTGATAAGAGGCATGGAGGAGCTCAGCTATGAGAAAGATTAGAGGAACTGAATTTATTCTCTCTTGAGAAGAGGAGATTAAGGGGGAATATGATCAACATGTATACATACATCAGTGGTTCATATAGTGAACTCGGGGTAGAGTTATTCACTGATAGGTCATCACAGAGGACAAGGGGGCACTCTTTACGTCTGGAGGAAAATAAATTTAATCTCCAAATAAGGAAAGGTTTCTTCACGGTAAGAGCTTTGAAAATGTGGAATAGACTCCCTCAAGAGTTGGTTCTGGCCATCTCAGTGGATTGCTTTAAAAAAGGCCTGGATTCTTTTCTAGATACACAGAATATAACTGGATACTAACATTTATAGGTAAAGTTGATCCAGGAAATATCCGATTGCCTCTCGGGGGATCAGGAAGGAATTTTTTCCCCTGCAGGAGCAAATTGGATCATGCTTTGCTGGGTTTTTTGCCTTCCTCTGGATCAACTGTGGGTGTAGGATTATAACTTTTTTTCAATGGTTGAAATGGTTGAAATGCAGAAATGGACTTTTGTCTTTTTTCAGCCAGACTAACTATGTATATTCAGTAATATATTTATTCACCATGAGGTGAATTGTTAAGGGAATTACAAAGACAGATAATTTAGGGGAAAAAATCTGAATGGGAATTTTTTTAGGTTTTGTAGCTCTGAACTAGATATTCCATTACCAATTCTCCACAATTCTTTATGTGAGTTTCTAAGCTGCTGTGTCATTTCTTGTACAGTCCAGCTTCTTATATTTCCTGTTTCTGGATTATTATGTTTTCAGCATCAGTGCAGAACCACCTCAGAGATAGGTGAAAACCACCTGAACTTCCAACATGGTAGTGCATTAAAGCATGCTGTAGTTAATTTTTTTTTTCACAATTGTCCATGACAAGGGATACTTGTTCTTTATTTTATCATCAGGTCTAAAAAAGAAATTGACAATGTCTGTAACTTATAAACATAAAAGTGGTGCTATGAAAAGAAAAGTGAATAGGCAAAGATGACAAAATGAGGCGTCTACTAGCAATATCGATTCATTCTTTGGTAAAAAAAAAAAAAAACAGATGATGTTCCTCAAGAAGATGCTGCTGTTGAGATCAGTGATGAAACACTGGAATTTGTGACTGAAGCAGATGTTGTAGATCTTGAAATAGAGTCAAATGTTGAAACTGATCTACTGACTGGAGAAAATACACTGTCTACCAAAATGCCATCTGGAGTGGAGAAATCACCATTAAAAGAAGATTACTTTCTCCCAAGACTTGCATAAAGCAGGAATTACCAGGGAAATATTTTGGGACTTCCATCCTAACCAGCCCACGGAAAACATACCATTTAAGGGTAATATTGTTTATTACCGAAAAGGCATACAAGGGTCCAGCATTCAAAGAAAATGGGTCATTCTTAATGATAAAAAAAAACAGTGTACATTATTCCACCTGCTTATATTATGGCCAGGAAGAGTATAAGCAGACTCAGTTAACCTCCCTAGCTGTCTTATTATGTCCATATTTCTGTGCTGAAAGCAGTAAATTTTTTTGCATGGAAATATGTATTTTTTTTATTGTAGGCCTGTAATTTTTAGGAATAACTCACTGAAATCTGTCCGAGCAAGAGTCTAGTAAAACATCCCGGGTATGATAAAACTTGAAACACAAAATCATAAATTATAGTTTAATAAATAATCATAAAAATAATAATATAATAATAATACATTTAATTCAATAATATAATCAAACCAAAAACACTGAAATTTGAAATATAGCGCCAAGTTTGCACATCGCTGAGCAAAATCGTTTTCAGTGTGTGATGACGAAATTTCCCCACGAATCATTATCACTTAATTCTGCAAGTGGTTCTGATTTACTATTGCTGTTCTCTAGTCGGTCTAAAACCGCTTTTGACCTAAAGGGACGCTTTTTGGACGCCATGGACTTTTCTAAGTTTCCAGGCAGAAAGAGCAGTCAAAATGCAGGCAGGGCACAGGACAAAGCACTAGGGACAAAATGTATGTGAAATGGTTTGATACAGTAATTTTTTACTATGTCAAATTCATTTTTAAATTAAATTTGCCGCCGGTTCCGGTCCCCGTACGTCCCTTACATCCCGATGCTCACAGGGACCGGAACACGGAAGCCGGATGCCGGCATCGGCCGGAGGAGATGGCCGGGGACGCTGCAGGGGACATATCGCGGGAGTGAAGGACAAGGTAAGCGCTGCAGGGAATCCCTGAGCAACGCCGCATGGTAAGCCCGAGTGTAGCTCGGGGTTACCGCTTTTGCTACTGAAATTTTACCCCGAGTTACACTCGGGAATACCGCTAGGGAGGTTAATACAAGGTTGTAACTACTGGAGTCACATCACAACCAGATTAATGGAACATGAAAACTCTCAATGCCATAAACTTACAAGTGATACCTATTTCGTTAACATGAGAGGCATATCCATTAAGCACAAATTGTCAAGTAGTCAGATGTCTCTAAGAAATCAGCAAGTGCTCCAACGTCATGCTGTTGTAAGCCACATCATCGATATTGTTTTTTTCATTGGTGTTCAAGCATTGCCATTCAGAAGCAGTCATTTAGAGTCTGTGGCGGGTGTGATTGATGAGGACCATCTAGAAAATCGAGGAAATTTTCTGGAGACTGTGAAACTTCTTGCTGACTACAGTCCAGTCTTAAAGAAGCACCTAACTAATGCTGTAGACATAGCAAAGAGCCGTGATCCAGAGGAAAAGGGAAGAGGAACGTTTGTAACTTTCCTAAGTAAATCTACTAGAACAAAGTTATTTGTGATTATTGGTGACATCATAAAGGAGGAAATAGTAAAAGAAGTAGAGAATTCTGGACTGTTTTCAATTCAAATGGACTCCACACAAGATGTGTCAACTCATGATCAGTGTGCTATTGTTGTTCGGTATGTTGCTGGTGATATAGTTAAGGAAAGATTATTACGTCTTGTTACTGTTGAAGATTCCAGTAGTAAAAACTTACATACCTTACTCACTGAATCACTGTCTGCTTTAGGACTTAATCTATAAAAGTGCATAGGTGATTCTTTTAACCATTAGCCGCCCGGCCTATAGTCGTTTGGCGGCCGCAAAAATGCTTTAGCTTTCCGGGGGGTATGCCATTTGGCATCCTCACGCACATGTGCAGTTCGCGTGGTTGCAGAGCCGTGCGGCGGCGCGATCTGTCACCGGCCGTGTACCTCGGAGTACCAGCCCCCATTGCCGGTATCATGTGACCTGCTGTGACCAATCACAGCAGGTCACATGACAGTTGTATACAATGGATGGCTTCATTCATGCCATCCATTGTATACTAGTGCCTAGCTGTGAATGGTCACAGCAGGTCACATGCACATGTCATGTGATGAGCTGTGGCCAAATCACAGCTAAGCACAAAAAAAAAAAAAAAAAACCTGAATGAATCGATGTCATTCAGGTAAATGCTTGCTTATAGCAAATTAATTCTTTGCTATAAGCAAATTGTATGAAAAAAAAAATACTGATCACTTCCCCAAAGTAGTACAATATTACTATGGTAACATTGTACTACTTTGGTCATAGTAAAATATGAAAAAAAAATGTAATAAAAAATTAAAAATAATAAAAAAAAATAAAAATAAAAAATAAATATATACATGTTTTTTTCATACTGTCACCAGTCAGTGTCCCTGATCACCGCCATGCCAGTTAGCCAGTTATATGATGACGCTGTACTGCACTGGTGACAGTATGTAAAAAAAAAATAGTGAAAATAATTGTTTTAATTTTTTCATTTTCCGAAAAATTATGACAAAAAAAATACAACTTCAAAAAACTCACCATGCCTCTTATGAAGTACGTCGGACTGTCTACTCTGCAAAAAGGGATAATTTGGGGGATATCTGTACTATTCTGACATTCTTGGACCTCAAGAAATTAGATTTGCTGTCAGTACTTCAGGATTGATCAATTTTCAGATCTATACCATAGTTTGTGAACTCTATAACTTTCCTACAAACTAAATAATGGCATCCTAATTTGGGTTATTTTCACCAAAGACATGTAGCAGAATACATCTTGGCCTAAATTTATGAAGAACAATTATTTATTTGTAAACTTTTATAACAGAAACAAAGAAAAACGTGGGTTTTTTTTCAAAATGTTTGGTCTTTTTTTGTTAATTTAGCAAAAAGTAAAAACCCCAGCGGTGATTAAATACCATCAAAAGAAAGCTCTAGTTGTGTGAAGAAAATGATACAATTTTAGTTTGGGTACAATGTTGTATGACCGCACAATTGTCATTCAAAGTGTGACAGCGCTGAAACGTGAAAAATGGCCTGGACAGGAAGGTGTAAAATTGCCCGGTATTGAAATGGTTAACGGAGCAGCTAGTATGAGTGGAACTTACTCAGGCTTGCAAGCATTAATGAAGAAAGTTCGCCCTACGCACATTCACACATGGTGTTACGCACACATACTCAACTTGGTTATTGGTGATGCAAGTACTGTGTGTGTTCCAGCAATCAGTCTATTTGGGCTCCTTAGCAACTTATCAACATTTTTTACAGATTCATACAAAAGGATGAGACTCTGGGAAGACCAGATAAAAAGAAAAACTGGCAGTTCTAAATTTAAAAAGCTGGAACATATTGGCAGAACAAGGTGGTCAAGTAGAGCTAAAGCACTACGAAAGTTATTTGGAAGCTTTGACGATCATTCCAAAGAGTTATGCTCTGATCTCATAATTATCTTGCAACTAGTAAGTGACTCTCCTGATTTTCAAACCTCATTTCACCACGAAGCTCTGAAACTAATTGAGAATCTCTGTAAATTTGAAACCATCCTGGTAGCTTTTACCTTTGTTCGCATTTTTGACATCACTACCCCTGTGTCAGATTATCTGCAATCAACAGGCCTTGATTTTATTCAAGCATGGAGAATGGTGGATGATACTTTAAAGCATTTGAGTAAAATATTCTGGAGTTTTGCAATCAGCAACTGAATTTATTGATTTATTTAAAATGAGAAGTTGGCAAGTGAAAACATTTGTTTGAATAAGAGCTTTTCTGAACTAAGATCCACAAGGACTGCAGAAGGTAATGATAACAACAAACATTTTGAAATTTCTTGTTACAAAGTTATCCTTGACACTATTACAGAAAGTGTGAAGTCTAGATTTTCCACTCATGGAGACCTTTATAAGCAAATTTCTTGCTTCGATCCAAATAGGTTTGAAGAAATACTGGCCCCTTCAGACAAAATTCAGTTGAATGTTATTTCAGAAGCAAAACCCGAAATAGACCCAGTTGCTCTAGGTGAGGAACTAATCTCTTTTGCCTCCAGCTACAAAAATATCTGTAAAGGCCTGTTGAATGAGAGTGATGATGAAGAGAGTGAAGAACTGGATTCAGATTTAGAACAGCAAGACACCAGCTCTAGTGCTGAGCCATTCACTTCTACAACTGCTGTAAAGAAAGACTCCTGTAAGAACTGTGTGTCCTGTGCTTTCAAACTACTCTATCAGTACTGACTGTGTTCAGTGGCCTTTGAGAATGTATTACACTGATCACTACACAGTGTACATGTGAAAGATGCTTTTCCAAGTTAAAAATCTTAGGCCCCATGTACACAGGATACTTCTGAACGATGGAAACTGACTGCTGGAAAATGTAGGTTAAAAAATGTCTGTTTAGTCGCGTTTGCATAACGCGTTTATGCACGTTTGCGTTTAGAAGGGTTTTTTAAAGATAAGCACAGGAGAACCTCCCAAATGCCCAGAATGCACTGAAAGTGGTAAATTATGAACTATTTCAGACTGTTTCAGAGAAATACAGAGAGTAGAAGCAGAGACAGCAGTATGTGTTCAGATAATTAGGTGTGAGTTGCTCATTAACATTTCTTTTGTTTCCAAGGGTTTGAAGGTGTCTGGTGGAGTGAGTCATTAAGGTCACCTGGCAGGGGGTCTTCATGAGGAATTTGAGGTGTGAATGGGCATTAACATATCTTTTGTTTCCAAGGGTGGGAGAGGTCTGTGGTGTGAATTGGTCATTATAATGTGTGACAAGCTTGGTAGGAACATTCTGTGTTCAGTGTTTGTCCATCTGAGTACCTTGTAAACGCTTTGCATGCATTTTTCATGATGAAAAAAGGCTCTGGACAGCATTAGGAACTGGAAGAGTTAAAAAAATTGCAAACGCTTAGAAATGCGATTTGCCGCGTTTACAAGCATTTTGCATTTAAAATGTTGATAAAATCTACTCCTGAACGCAAGTTTTCTGCATTCAAAAAAATGACTGTAAACGCCTGTAAATGAAGATGTGTACATGGACACATAGAAAAACATTAGGGTGAGTTACAGGGGCTGCAGAAAAAAAAAACGCTGAACAGCTCCTGAGTTTATCAGCTGCAGTGTACATGAGCCCTTAAAGTCAAGAATAAGATCATCACTGTCACAACAACAAAACCTGGAGGCATTGATGCTCATTGCAGTAGAAAAGGAAGTTGCACTAAACATAAAGACTGACAAAGATAAAATCATTGACAGATTTGCCAAGACATCACCTGCACTTAACTCTTTACTGCTTTTGTAACATGCTGGTCAGAGCTTCTAATTTTTTTTATTTTTTATTAAAATGTTCAGCTAAGAAGACATTTGTTGCACCTGTTATATTGTGTTCATTCATTAAAACCTTAGTTTTGAAATTTACCATTGTTGCGCTTTCTTTAATATGTTTTTTTTCTTTATTTTTCTATAATAAACATTTATTTTGAGAAATTCTGTGACAAACGCATGTAATGCAGGCAGTGTAATATGTAGGTGGGGTTTTGTGTGGGTGCAGCTTGAGTGGGCAGGGACACAAGGGGCCCCATGATCTCCTATTGCCCCAGGGCCCCATGAGTTGTCAGTCCACCCCTTGTTTGAGCCACTGTGAGCTTTTCATTGTAGTCTGTGTTCCTGTTGGTGTGCTTGCCCTGCCTTTACCTATGGTCACTGGGACACAAAGTAATAGTTCCAGAAAACAAGGAGGAGAGTGTCCTTCATTATCTGATGGTGCCTGATTTAACGAGTGATCTGCTCTTTTCTTCCCATTTAAAAAGTGCTGTCATACTAATCTGGGTCCCAAGCTGCAATGCTTACATAACAAGGGGACCAACTGGAGGATCTTCCAATCCTCTGGCAGGGCCTTTGCATTAAAGGGTATTTGGCAGCTCCCCCTTTCCCACTAGTTGTCAAAGTAGCCAGGTTCACAGTATAAAACAAAATTATTCTGTTTTAATCCTCCATATAATTCATTCTTAAAGTGTTACTAAACCCAGAACCCTGCATTCACTATATCTGGTCTCCCACAGTACACAGAACATGGAAATGCAATTATTTTAGTAAATATAAACTGCTAAATACCTTTTCTCCTCAGCAGTTGGAGCAATCTTGTGACTATCAGTGTCCAGCAGAGTACTGGTTAAAACTTGTAGTAGGAGTTTTCATTCTCCTGTAGGAGGATGCAGGACCCCTGACCTCTTTCTTAACTGTGCTGATTGAACCTGTGCTAATCACATGCACTCTCCCAATAAAAAAAGAAAAACCTCTCTATCAATATGCACCAAACTGAGCGTGTGCACCTTCCCCCAAGCCTCTGTTCTATCAGGAGATATTTAGGAGACACTGGAAGAAGGGGGGGGATCAGAGAAGACCGGATCAAACAGCCTTTTTAAACATTGCGGAGTAATAACCCCTTAGATTCCACAGTGAGAATAATAAGCATTCTTTGCTGCATATACAGACTGAGTTTACTGTTGTAGGTTTAGGAAGACTTTAAAACCAAAAAAATGACCTTATTTGTTCACTGTGGTACATTGTTCCTGCTTGTGGTGGAAATGCCCCTGTTGGGAGATGTACATTTGCTGGATGTGGTAAGAGTTTTTCAAAATAAAGAATGTTAACTACTATCATATATTGCACCAAGATTGGTTTCCTGTGTTGTTATAGCTAATGCTTCGCAACCACTGCATCTAAATGTCTGTGCTCAAATATACTGTGTACAGTGGATCTACTGCAAACTGCTCCTCTACTAATAAATAAACTTCAGGAAATATAAACTTCAGAAATAGACATTTTCCACACACTGACTCATTCTGTAGATTTAACATACTTACCTTATGTATGAGCTTTTTTAATAACGTTCTGTTTAACCGTTTCAATACCGTGCAATTTTACACCTTCCTGCCCAGGCCATTTTTCAGGTTTCAGCGCTCTCACACTTTGAATGACAATTGCGCAGTCATACAACATTGTACCCAAACTAAAATTTTATCATTTTCTTCACACAACTAGAGCTTTCTTTTGGTGGTATTTAATCACCACTGGGGTTTTTATTTTTTGCTAAATTAACAAAAAAAGACCAAAAATTTTGAAAAAAAAACACATTTTTCTTTGTTTCTGTTATAAAAGTTTACAAATAAATAATTGTTCTTCATAAATTTAGGCCGAGATGTATTCTGCTACATGTCTTTGGTGAAAATAACCCAAATTAGGATGTATTATTTAGTTTGTAGGAAAGTTATAGAGTTCACAAACTATGGTATAGATCTGAATATTGATCAATCCTGAAGTACTGACAGCCAATCTAATTTCTTGAGGTCCAAGAATGTCAGAATAGTACAGATATCCCCAAATGACCCCTTTTTGCTGAGTAGACAGTCGGACGTACTTTATAAGAGGCATGGCGAGTTTTTTGAAGTTGTATTTTTTTGTCATAATTTTTCCGAAAATGAAAAAATGAAAAATATTATTTTCACTATTTTTTTTTTTACATACTGTCACCAGTGCAGTACAGCGTCATCATATAACTGGCATGGCGGTGAACAGGGACACTGACTGGTGACAGTATGAAAAAAAAAAAAAAATTATTTTTTTTTAATTTTTTTTTTTTATTTTTTTATTATATTTAATTTTTTATTACATTTTTTTTTTATTTTTTTTAAGATTTTTTTTCATATTTTACTATGACCAAAATAGTACAATGTTACCATAGTAACATTGTACTACTTTGGGGAAGTGATCAGTATTTTTTTTTTTTTTTTTTTTTTTACACAATTTGCTTATAGCAAAGAATTACTTTGCTATAAGCAAGCATTTAGCTGAATGAAATCGATTCATTCAGCTTTTTTTTTTTTTTTTTTTTTTTTTGTGCTTAGCTGTGATTTGGTCACAGCTAATCACATGACATGTGCATGTGATTAGCTGTGACCATTCACAGCTAGGCACTAGTATACAATGGATGGCATCATGAATGAAGCCATCCATTGTATACAACTGTCATGTGACCTGCTGTGATTGGTCGCGGCAGGTCACATGGTACCGGCAACGGGAACGCCGGTACTCGGATCTGTCATCGGCCGTGTCCGAGGTGCACGGGCGGTGACAGATCCCGCTGCTGCGCCGCTCTGCAACAGCGCAAACGGCGCATGTGCGGGAGCACGCCAAATGGCGTGGACCCGGAAAGCTGCAGCGCTTTTCAAGCCGCCAAACGGCTATTGGCCGGGCGGCTAATGGTTAAACAATTCATTTTACAGAAAGGATCGTACGTATACAATTAGATTAAGCAGTAATGCACATCGTGATATATTAATTGTATTTTACTATTGCTGTGCTGCAAACACATTCATTCTTTTGAACACATAAATTCAATTCAAAGACGTTTCTTCACTAAGACCATGGTTTACTTACCCACTAGATAGATTTCTGAGAGGGAAATATGTACAAGCATTATTAAATAAATGCTGGATGATGAATTTGTGGCTGATAAATTTTTAATTTGAATATTCTCAAGGTGTGGATGCCATTTTGAACCTTATAGAATGTTGCGTCTTTGATTGTAACTGTTATAATGCAGACAAGTGTACTTGGAAGTGTATAGTGGGTACATTACTTTAGCACATTAGTTTTAGGGCCAGTTCACACCAGGAATGCACAGGAATGAGCTGAGCGATTCCCATGCGGTGCAGTGCGGTGCATGGGCTGCATCGCACTGGACCGCCAAAAGTTGTTGTTTATGCACTACTTAAAAAAATGCACTACAACCTGCTTTTAGGGGGAACTTCTGCTTCCGAATGCCAAAGGTCAGTGCGGAAGTGGGAGCCAAAGGTGCCAATCCTTAACAGGGAGTGGGGGACAAGTCCTTAAAGCACAACTTCCCTTTTGGGTGGAGCTCCACTTTAATTTAACATTGACACCCGCTGCACATTGCAACTACAGTGGATTTTGAACGCGGTGCAGGAAAAGCATGTGGAAGGTGTATTTCCTGCACTGTATTCTAGTGTGAATAGGCACTTAGTACAGTTATCCTTGAAAAGATGCCCCCAGCACCACCAACTTATGTGTTATACATTACTAATTCCTCTTAGCCCAGCTAGGGGACTTCTGATGTGGTGGCACTCTGCATGCCTCTCAGATAAGGTCTTGGAAGAGCAGCCCATGAAAATACTGTTTTAAATCAATCAAATAAACATTTTGAGATTTAGCTTTAAAAAGGTAATTTGATTAAACTAATATACACTATATGGCTAAAAGTATTGGGACGCCTGCCTTTACACACACATGCACCTTAATGGCATCCCAGTCTTAGTCCGTAGGGTTTACTATTGAGTTGTCCCACCCTTTGCAGATATAATAGCTCCAACTCTTCCAGGAAGGCTGTCCACAAGGTTGCCTATGGAAATGTTTGACCATTCTTCCAGAAGTGCATTTGTGAGGTCAGGCACTGATGTAAGATGAGAAGGCTGGCTCGCAGTCTCCACTCTAATTCATCCCAAAGGTGTTCTATTGGGTTGAGGTCAGGACTCTATGAAGGCCAGTCAAGTTCCTCCATCCCAAACTCACTCATCCTTGTCTTTATGGACCTTGCTTTGTGCACTGGTGCACAGACATGTTGGTGGAACCAGAAACGACCTCTCCTGCGCTCTATGACCCAGAGCAAGGGTGGATGGTTGGAACCAGAACTTGAATAATTCGACCACCAATGCATATAAGGTTGTGCAGCTCTAAACAAGGCTAGGGAAGCCCAACCAGTACTGCAAAGTGAAACAAAACGAAAGTGCACCAACCTTGCGCATTACCTCAGTAAACCATAATTTTATTGAATTCAGAATAATACTCACAAACAATTAAATAAATCAAGCATGTAAGTCCTCAAAGGAACTTTAGAAGTGTGAAGCCTGTGTGAGTCACATCGTAGGGGTAGATTCTCAGAAAACGGTTGACGCGTTTTGAAGGGGGTCTAGCTCTGATGAAGAAGGGACCCCCTTTGAAACACATGAGCCGTTCTCTGAGAATCTACCCCTACAATGTGACTCGCACAGGCTTCACACTTCTAAAGCTCCTTTGAGGACTTACATGCTTGATTTACTTTGTTGTTTGTGAGTATTATTCTGAATTTTAAAAAATTATGGTTTACTGAGGTAATGCACAAGGTGGTGCGCTCTCTTTTTGTTTCACACTGCGCAGACATGTTGGAACAGGAAGGGGCCATCCCCAAACTGTTCCCACAAAGTTGGGAGCATGAAATGGTCCAAACTGTCTTGGTATGTGAAAGGATCTAGATAACTTCCATTTTGTATTATGTACGCCATTTTAAGTACTTAAGTTAGCTTTTTGTAGAGATATTAGAAGTTTAATGAAACTGTTTTTGGTTGTTCAAGGATGTATCAACAGAAGCTAACATGACCCTGACAATGTCTTTGTCTGTCTGTTTTCCCTAAAAGTTAGCCAAAACAATTTGTACCAAGAAATGTATATGTTATGTTTCATGTAGTTAGCTCATGATGGAAATTTACAAGTTACAGTTTTAAAACTCGCTCCCCCCCCCCCCTTATTATTATCTGTAGTCTATATAATCTTATTAATGTCTAATAAACTTTGAACATCTCTGAACATAAGCTGTCGTGATTTCCGTGTTCAAGGGGTGTTCCCAGAATTCTGCTGATAAACCAGGAATCTCTCCACAGACCGGGGGTCTCTGAGGGGAAAAGAAAATCATTCCTTTCAGCTGGGGGCTCAGCCCGGGATGACCACCCACCTCACTTGGTAAGTAAACCTTTTGTCTTTTTATGACTAAAAGCTCTTTCTTGCCCTGTGTTGAGGGAAGGTCTTGAATCATTGTGTATTGTCTATATAGACCCGTGATAACCTGTAGCTGCTTTTGGTAAAGCAGACTTAACTCTTTGGTAGAGTTACAAAATAGTGCACTATAATATAAAAAAAGGTGTTTTGGTAAACACAGTTTCTCTGGTAGAACACACTGTTTTTGGTAAAACAGTGAAGAGATAACTTTTGGGAAGTTATCAAGAGGTTATTAAGTCTGTGGAGCAGATTCTGGTTTATCTGTCTTTTGCTTTTTCTTTCTGTTGCGTAGAAGTATAAGATAATTTGTTATGTAGAACAAAATAAGATTTTAAGCTAAAATTGTTTTATCCACTGTCTAAATATGGGTCAAGGAGGTAGTTACCCACCAGGTCCCCCAGAAAAGGGAGAAAATTGTAAGGATTATGTTGCTAGAGTTTGTGGAACGGACTATTATTTAATAAATCCCTGGGTGGATTGTATGGCAGGCTGGACAGAAGCTATGGGGAGTACAGACCCATTCCCAAGAAAGGGGGAGAAAACTGGTTAAAATGGTCCCCGTATTGGGTTGATAATAGCAAGGGAAAGTTCAATTTGATTTTCTCTTTAAAAACAAAAGAGGAAGTTGAAATTGGATACATTAAAAATATGCCAGGAAAAGCATCAATCTGAAAAGACATGCAGACCCAAGATTGGACTGAAAACAGTTCAGACACCAACCCCACCCCCTCCGTATAATATATATCCTTCATGAAGTGGTTTTAAAAATGCTGCTGATGATGATGATTTTTGATTAGTTTGGGGATGATTACTCCCCAGCCTAATGCCCCTCCAGCCCCTGCTCCTGTCTCTGCAGCTCCAGCCCCTGCCCCTGCCCCTGTCCCTGCGCCACTTCCCGTCCCGGATCTACAACCAATACAGCCAGGCCCCTCCACTAGACCCAAACAGATCATTAGTATAAAATCACCAGAGGAGGGTAGCCAAGTTCAAGGCATCCTTACGGAGAATAATGACAACGAAGGAGAGTTGGAATACGAAGAACAGGGACAGGTAAATATAATAAAATTACAGAAAAAGGATGGTCAATGGAGAAGAAGTGACACCAGTCATAGAAAGGGCAGAGAGGTGGAGGAATTTAGAATGCAGCTTAGATCCATGGATAA